CATGGGGAGGGATAGATACTCTGGTCACTGCTCTAACTGCCTGTCAGAGCCTTTCTCTTGCTATGGGGGCACGTGATGTTATAAGTGAAAAGGTGCCTCAGATGAGCTGCTCTGGCATATGGTCCCCTTCCCCCAGCACTCTGCTATTAGCTGCCAGAGATGAAAAGCTGCTATGTGCAGAGATAGAGCTGGAGGTGTCAAAGATGTCACCTGCAAGCTGCTCCTTGAGGAATGGGGATGGGATGGCTGAAAACAGACAGCTGGAGGACCAGAGCGGCATCATACTGCAGCAGAATGCAGCCAGGGATAGGTTGCTCAGCCTTCTCGCACCCGGTGCCAACCCACCTCCTGCTCCATGTGTGTCTGCATCCCCCGCACTGCAGGGGTTGAGCATTTTGAGGACCCCTCCATGCATGGGAGCAGTGGGAGGGAGTGGCACAGCATGGGTGTTGGGGAGCACAGAACTCGTCTCCTGCAGTTCACCAGTTAAACTCCCTTTCCAAAGGGGCACATTGTGCAGAATGAGCTGCACATGTACAGGCTGATCAGCTTTTAATTTTTGGAGTGCTTTTAAGCAGCACCAAGGGAAAGGAGTCAGCACACTGAGAGAGAAATAATCTCACCCATTCTGTGCTAGTGGGGAAGAAGGTGCACAGGGATAAAGGCTACCGGAGTCTACCTCTGTTCAGTGTTTGGAAGCCAGCCCATGTCTGTTCGGATATTTCTGAATATGCAAGCTAGAGAAGAGGAGGTAAGGTCCTTCATGTCTAGGCCAGCCTCTGTGGTGGCGACTAGCCAGGCAGGCTGGATTCAGCATCCCACTTGCCCTAGGCTTGGAGTACAAGGCCACCCGAGTTTATCCCCTGCTGAGGGCAATCCCTGCTTTTCCAGTGCCAAAACCGAGATGAATCAGCCCCCAAACACCTCCCACCCTGGGCTGATATACTGAGAATAGTGTCAGGAGCACTTAAAAAAAAGCACAGTGCTATTAATACAGATTGGGGGTTGGGGGGAAGGTTGGTTTTTGAAGCTGGATTATGGGGTATTTGAATAAGAAAGACTTGGAGTCTCTGTATGTCATCACAGCTGCTGTGGAGGCAGCCACATCAGGCTGTCCTACTCCCCATCCCAGATGGATGGAGGAGAGGCAATCCAGTCCTTACAGCACTGCTAAGATGGGGTTATATTTTTGTACAATTAAACACGAAAGGCCACTGCCCTCTCTCCATCTTCCATTAAACCCATTTTCTTATGAAACTGGAAGCATTGATTAACAGCCTGCTAGGGGAGACAAATCCCTGGAATCTTTCTCTGTGCCCAGGAGGCTGTCCCTGCTCCAGGGTAAATGTATGCTCATTTTTTGCTCTGCAAAAAAGAGAAAAGACTGAGCTGTCTTCAAGGAAGCTACAGATCCACAGGAGAAGAAAAAAATAGAAAGAAAAAAGAGCATTTTCTTTGGAAGTCGTTTTCTTCTTAGAAGTTCTTTCTGCCTTTTTTTATTAATAATACAACACCCTGGATGTGTCAAAAAAAAAAAAGAGACTACATCTCCTGGTGGGGAGCTCCAGCCTCGCAGAGCCAGGCGGTGCAGCCGGGTTGTCATTTGCCTCTTGGAATCTCATTGCCTAATCAACACGTCTGTGAAATCACTGTGTTTTCAAAGCTTAGTTTCCAGAGCTGCTGGGATCAAAGACTGGGGGAGTGGGGGCAGAGTGGGGAGGGGGAAGCCTGCTGTCTCCATCAGCAGCCCAGCACTGAGAAAATACCTGCTAGGGAAAGCCTGAACAAGGGGTAGTTTAGTGCTCAGAGCTGGGTTCAGTTTTTCAGAGCCAATCAAGAAAATAGGGATGCAGAGACCAGGCTTCCCTTTTTCCCTAAAGGGGCACCCCCCTTTAGGGAAAAATATCCACTTGGAAACGTGGGCACCTGCTTGGGTTTTGCAGGGTCTGGCTGGCCCTACCTGGGGTGGGAGTGCTGTGGAGAGCCCTGGAGCACAGGGAAGGGGCTTCAGGGGCCTTCCTGGAGCCACCCTGTCCTGCTGCAGGTACATGAGTGGCACTGCCTTCACACTGTCACCTCAGATGGCAGCAGCACCCAGGCCCAGGATAGCCACTTGCCTGGCTTTTTGACTCTGGTTGTCCCACCTCCGAGACAGACTTGGGCCAAGCACCTTTCCCCTTCTGATCTCGCAGGTATCAAGTGAGAGGAACTCAAATACATCGAAATTGCACATATCTGGGTCAGACAATGAGGTTTTTGCTTCTCTGACACCTGGAAGGACATTAATTCACTTGTCAGGCAGTCACCTGAAAGCCCTCCCAGAAGATGCAAAGTATTCTTGTGTTTGAAGAGGTTAGGAAGACCTGGAAGGGGGAAATCTTTGAGAAAAACCCAACTCTGGTGTCTTCATTTATCATGAAAAATGGGGAGACACCGGTTGGAGCTTGCCTGATACTGAGCAGCTGCTTGTACTGTGAAACCACCATGTTGAGGAGCACCCCTTCGGTTCCTAGGCAAGAGGGAGATGCCCATCTTTATCTCCCAGAAATATCCATAGCCTGGGTGAGTGAGTTACTCGACTCTAGGATGCTGTCGGGAAAGGTTGGGCGAAAAAACAGAGGCACTAAGGTAATGCATGGAGCTGTTGGCCACGTGGATTTGTACCCACTGCTAATTTGCAGCTGCTTTTTGGGTGGCAGCTTGGTCAGTCCCTCCATTGGGCACCAGTAGGCGCAGTATCCTGTGGGGAAAGGCAAATCCATGTTGGAGGTGTGGGATCTCACTGCAGGATGCTGCACTGCCCATGCCTGGCAGAGCTACATGGATACAGCCAGATGCCAGCCTCCATCAACCCATCCCACCACCCCTGTGCCAACCCTGTGCTGCCCAAGCAAAGCCAAGATGCTCAGCCTGTCCAGAAGTAGCTTCAGGCAGGATCATGTAAGGAACTCTCTCCTCCTGCACAGCTGATGCTTTTCCTATTTTGCTTTTGCTCTGTGTGATATGACTGCAGAAAAATAACATCACAAAACAGCATGAAAAAAATCCAAGATGCTCAGATTCATCCTAACTGCTGGGCAGGAGATCCCTGCAGCTGTGGGTACCCCTCATGTTAACACAGCTCTTCGGAGGTGTTTAATTATAGCATCCCAGGTACTAGGAATGCAGATGGAGGAGGGACCATGGGACAGCAGGGTGCTGCATGGTGAGTCACTGGTGAGTCCCAGCACCACCGCCACGTCCTTGTGCTGGAGGAGGAAGGTTGAAGCCTCGAGATGACCAGCAGGACAGGGCAGGTGCCCCTGGGGGCAAAGCAGCTTCTGGCTGCATGTGCAGCTCCCTTGCACGTGGCATTTGGGCAAGCACAGCTGGTGAAGTGGCTCATTCACAAGATGCGTTACCTGGAAACAGTAAGGAGCAGCTCAGAGGATGCAGCTCCTGCCTCTGCAGCATTCACTCTGCCACGTGTGGAGACGTGGTAGTTGTTCCTACTGACAAGGGTGAGCAGGCTACATATGGCCTCAAATGTCAAGGGCATCCTTTTACCCTCAGAGCATGTGAACTGAGGGTACATGGATGGTGGGTTTGAAAGCATCCTGTGTAATACAAGCTGGAGGGTATCAGAACAGAAGTCTTCCCTGGGTATAACATGGATGTACTATATACTTTCTGGAAGAAAACACTTCATGATTTACACTGTGTGAAGGAGAGGCCGCTGTAGCTCCCCTGTCTCTCCCAAACACTTTCTTGACAGTGGTTTCGGGAGCGGATTATCTCCACCACCCTCACCTCCATCGACACCCTGCCCCATCACACGGCTCCCTCCTGTTTCCCTCCAAAAAGGCATCTTCTCCACTGCAATGCCTTGACCATCCTAGAGTGGAGGGTGATAAGGTGACCACTCTGCCACCTCCCTGCCCCGAGTCTCCCTGTGTCTCCTGGCGCCCTGTGGCAGGTGTGACCCCACTTCCCACACGGGCTGCCAGCAGAGACGGGTGTGCGGCTGGGGCCGGGAACACCCCTTCCATCCAGCACAGAGCATTTTGCACTTGTTCCCCAAAATGATGCAGAAAGAGCAGTGAGCCTTTGTGGGTGCTGGGAGATTGGAGGGCAACCACAGCAGACCCATAGCCAGAAAGTACTCAGGAGTGTAAAAATTGGAGAGAAGGACAGGATTTTTTCGCGTATTTATTTTTTTTTCTTCCTTTCCTTTTTCCCTTCCTTTCGCTTCCCTTCCTTTCCCTGTTTCCCTGTTCCCGGTTTCCCTCCCTCGGTCCGTTCCCGCAGCGAGACGCTTCGGGCCGGGCCGGGCCGGGGGTCGGGCGGTGCCGCTGGCGCACGGGCTCCCCCTGGCGGCAGTTGCCGTGGGTCCGTGTGGAGAGTCGCGCCCTTCCCGGCCCCGCTCCGCAGGCAGCCCCGGGCAGGCAGGTGGCGGGGCTCGGGCCGCAGGCGGCACCCAGGCCGGGGCCGGGCCTCCTCCCATCGCCTGCCGGGCTGCGTCCCGCAGCGGGTAGTGTCGGAGGGGCCTCACGCGTGCGTGCATGCGCTGGGGGAAATAGGGTCAGGGCCCGCTGGGATCCTCGGCTGGGTTCCGCTGTGCTGCAGCCTGGGGACACGCGGGGAGCGGCTCTCTGCTGCTGACAAACACAATTTAGGGAGGGAAAGTGGGCCATGGGAAACTCTCAGCACTGGTGGCCTCTCTGACAGCCAGGTACCTCTGCAGGCATAGACCTCTCTGTGGGTCAGCCCTCTGACAGCTACAGCTATCTCCATTACAGACACCAAAATCCACCACCACCGACCAGCTCTGGACCAAGGCAGAGACTGCTGGCCACCAAAGCAGAGCAAGTCCCATGGAGCAGGAAAGGCAGAGTAGTCCAGGAAGAGCCATTCACACCAGTAGCTGCTCACAGGTTACCAAGTGAAGGCCGAACAGCAGCCAGCCTCTGTGAGCCAGGGCTGAGAATGGGTTCATGGGAAAGGGGGAGAGCAGAGAAGGTGCCTGACATCCCCCACCACCCTGCTATGTGCAGGGCAGGTTGGGTCATGAGTCAGCCGCTCCTTCCCCATCCCGCACACATGTGCAGGTTTTCCTGCAGAACAGGTTTTCTGGTATTAGCGATACCATTGCTGCTTTCTGTCTTCGGTTCCACCCCCTGGCGCAGGAAAAAAACAGAAACAAAGGTAGCAACAGTGTCATGAAAGACTCTTGTAAGGTAAAGAAGCTGCAGTTAGCACCTTGTGCTCGTGGAGCTCCCAGCTCCCCAGTGCACATCACCAAACACCCCCAGAGAAGGCTCTCGCGACACACAGGTACCTGTTCTCCCACTTCTCCTCCCACCAGAAATGCTCAGTTTTCCTCTATGATTCAGATAAAACCACCCCCTTGCCTGGGATAAGGCTGTCGGTGTTACCAAGCAGGAAGGCCTCACAGGTCTCACATTCCTCCAGCACCCGTGTACTATGGTCACCTTCACCTCCTGGCTTCCCGCTCATTGACCTGGACCAGCCATATCCATGGTGCTAAGCTTGGTTTCCCTGCTGCCTCCCTCCCAGCCCACCCTCCCCAAGGGACCTGTCCTGAGCAGATGAGCACCCCGACATGGCCATGCAAAGCATGGAAAGGCATCTCCCGGTCTATAGAAGTGAGGAGGTTCACCAGGACTGGTTAGTGGTTCACCAGCCCCAGAGGCTCCGTGAGCACCTCTTGCTTCCTATGGCATTTGTTTTGCCAAAGTCAAGTGCGTTGCTCCTGTCTTTTGGCATCAGGATTGAGCAGGAGCTGGCTAGGAAGACCCACCACCTCCCATCCCCTTTATTTTAATCAACATGAGGAGCACACAGTAGTTCTGCCTACGTGTTACTACTTTTTATGGTGTTTTTTTCAGCTCTGGAAGTCTTGATTCCAGCAAGTTGTGCTACTTGCTAAAAACTTTGGCTCCTCCATTTGGCTGCAAGGTGAAGGTGGTGCTCTTGGGTGACCTCCATTGGGTAGGATCCAGCCTGCTCCCCTTACAAGAAAGGTTTCCCTTCCCTTTTTCTGTACTGCTCCGCTGCAGCAGGGACTTCGCTGTTCTGGAGGTGGTGTGTTCCTGACAGCAGCCTGAGTGGATGCGGTTACCTCACTGATCTGACCTCGTGGGGCTTGGCTGATACCATTCATTTAAACCGGTTCTCTGGATTTTGTTAGAAGTCTATGATAGTCAGTGACTTTTTCCTTAAAATTGCGCTTTCTGCAATGGAGAATGCTAACTCCTGGATTAAATGTCAGGTGATAAATAGGAATCTAAAAGAGATTTTTTAAAATCCTATGACTTTTCCCCCACAGAGCAGTATTTTCCTGTCATCGCAGCTGTGCTCCTGCATCTCATTTCTCCACTGAGCATCCTTTCCTACCAACCATAACCACCCTGATCCCCACAGCACATCCAGCCTGGGACCACCAGCTCCTCTGGCTCACTACAGACTATGAGCACAGGTTGAAGGAACAATGGAGATGGAAGCCTTTAAATCTAGGTTTCCCAACATCAGAGACCATGTGAAAACCCCTTAGTTTCTTTATTTAAACTGTTCTTTTATTTAGTCTTTTCCTATGCGAACTACTCTGTTCACAATTTGTATATCTATAATTTGTCTGTAAGAGTATTATTTATTTATTCTTACTGAAATAATCCATCAACTATTCCCTAACAACACAGGGATAGGATTCTTGTGGGGAAATATACTTTCTTAATGTTTCTTTTAAAGATGCCAGCTCTGTACTTTAATTGCATAGATACAAAGCCAAACTCCATTGACGTCAGTGCTATTAGCTGGGTTTTACTGATATCAAATAGATATAAAAATCAGTACCAAGCAAAAATTCAGAGAGAATAATACACCCACATGAACCTGATACTTCCCTTATGTCCATTGTCTGGCTGAAGTGCCTGTGTCCCTAGGCTCAGACCAGATTTGCATCATCTCTTCCCCACTTGAGAAAGAAAATACTATGCAGGAAATGTGTTTGTCACCACGGTAATGAGGTAAGATTAGCAGTGGGAAAATAGCACTTTCCAGCTCCAGCCTCAGAGATCGTCAGGGTCCTGGGAGCAGGAACAGGCTCAGCCACCTCTTCCTCCTCCTTGCAACTGTGTGGCTGCCTGTGGCCGATGTTGGCTCCAATAACGTGCGGCTGAGTAACCTTGGAGCTGAGTGATGTGGAAGGAGCAGAGTGAGAGAGCGGGGAGAAGCCCAGCCTGGGGCCTCCCCAACCTGGCACTTGGGCCGTGGCCCTAGTAAACCTTGAGTAACCACATGGGCAAACCCATGCACAGCCACAGACCTTGCTGTTCCCAGCCTTGCCTTACTGATCTGGTTTCACCCCAGATCTGCCCTGTCATGATGGAATTACATGGCCATCACTGAAAGGTAATGGCATTCCATTCACAGAAACACAGCTTTTTTTCTGGGATATGTTACTAAAGAGTTTTAGCTGTTTAGTAAGCACCAACTCTGAAGCACATGCAAGTGGAAAAACTGAGATCCAGAAAACATAGTTTAACATTTATTGGATTTCCCTGACACCATAACAGGAGGAACTTGACAATGATCAGGTGAACCCCTTTTTTTTTTCGGTTGCTAAGCCAAGATATTGAAGACTTTTTTTCTTTTTCCTCTGAAAAACATCAAGGAGTTTTTATGCATAATTTTACAGAATTGAAAGCAGCATCACCTGAGTGCTGGGGCCATATCCTTGATGGATTCAACTGGAACAGCTCTAAGGAAGCTGTGGAGATACCTTGGTGCTGGTCCTCACTAGGTAAGGAAGTGACATCCTAGGAAAGCTGGTCAGTGCCAAAGCCCCTCACAAATTCTAGGTCTGGAGACAGACTGACACCTCTGTGCAGTAAGATGATCGTCTTCAAACTGAAAAATGGCTACAACAACTCTGTAAGACTTAAGCTGAAATTTAAGTGTACAAAGAGGATTTCACAGGCTTTAAAGAACACTGTTTTCAAACTGCCTTTTTTTTTTTTTTTACTTCTGGGTTTTCTGTTCCACATCTTCACAGTTCAGTGGTGTTACTGAATGCCAAGGAATCAATCTTCAGCAACAGCACTCAGGGGCTCTTTCAGAGTAATTCCTTTGAGAAGAAAATAGCTGGTACAGTTTGAAAGAGTAATTGGTAGGTCAACTACTTCTGTTCCATCTCTCCCTGCCATTTCCATTTGCTGCTTTCACTGGAAGCCCAGAGCTGCTGTGACCTTTATTACGACCCTGTAGCAGCCCTCAACTGAAAGGACAGCTTTGTTCCAGATTACTACATTAATTGCTCTTCAGTGATACCTCCTCTTTTCAAACATCAATGTTCAGAACTTGCATAACTGAAATGCACCCATTTACTAAGTGAGTTATAAATCAGCTTTTCACTCTGTGGTACATCTGGCTAGTGACAAACCAACTGAGCTGTTTGACTTGGGTGGAAATTGAGATGTTTCAGTGAGCATCTCAACCGAAAAAGCAATGAATGTCTTAGCAGGAAAGAATGAAAACCTTGTGGTAATGCCTCATACAAGTGACCCCACAGAGCAAAATGCACCCTGTTTAAAAAGCTGACCTAAGTGTCACACCACAGTTACATGGGCTGGGGCAGCCACCAGCACATGTAGCAAGGGGAAATAAGCATTCTGCACATTACTATGGCTCCTGCAGCCCCTTCAAATTGCTTCCCTTTATCTTTAGTCATTGCCTCGCTACAAGCCTGAGCTGTACAGCCTCAAGAGCAAAGAGCATGCTTTCATATAACGCATTCCCAGCTGAGTGAGGCCCTGGCCTCTAATGGCAATTTTTAGGATCCCACTGATGAAAATGAGCTCAGGCAATTCTTCTCATACACACAACAACCACCAGGATTTCAAACTGTGGTTGAAACCGCTGAACTTTCATCTGCTTGCAATGCTGTCCTGAGCAAAGCTGTCAGCTGAGAAACTCCCAGTTGTGCTGGACAAAGAGGAGCCCCTGATGAAGGCTGCTGAGCTGCAGTAAAGCTCCCTGTTCCAGGCTCCTGGAGGGTGATGAAGGTTTGTAAAGCTAAGGCTGATAGACCTGCACTAGACCTTCTACCTGCCAAGTCACAGCATTCACGGAGGACTTTAAAGAGAGACTGTGCAGTATGAAGTGAGGGGAATCACCCAACACTTATCGTTTCCTTCCCAGATGCCAGGAGTCTCTTTGAAGCTTGGAGCAGATTGTATCTTAACACCAAGTCGCATTTTGAATATGTACTTGCTACTTCCATCATCAGCAGCAATAAATTCAAAGACTCAGGAAACTCAAGTCAGACTTCTTCCTTTCCTAAAGAAACACTCATGAAATGAGCGCTCATTTCTATTAGTTGGTGGAATTCTTAGTCAAGGATCTGAGTTAGAAACAGCAATGTGTGTGGAGTCAGAAGCATGACACAGGCCCAGGAGTTACTGGCGGCCTCAGTGTTTGTAGATGTCTCTCCCATCTGAAGATGATGGTACCGCTTCATAGTACTTAATCTAATCTAGCTGTGGGCTACTACTGACAAAAACACTTTCACTCCCTGCACACTCCCACCACATTTATCCAGAATCTACCATCATACAGCTTTGCTGGCATTATCAGTTCACTGAGCCTACAGATTTTTCTTTGGTGGATTTACTTCTGTGCTCCCTACTGGGAGGAACAGGTGTGTCCTGTTCATCACTATGTCTTTGGGTAGGAAAAAACAAGAGATTATCCCCTCTGCTAGCACCCTACAATTATGATCAAGTCTGCTTTAAACTGAAACTAACTACATCTCAAATGGAACATCACTGTGTGTCATAGCTGGTAGAAGCCAACACCATGCAACAGATACTTCAGACAGAAACCATTTCTAGGATGTGACCAGAAGCTATGAGTCGGATCTGCAAAGCTGCATCTGCAGACTGTCAGCATGAAGCAACTGATTATCCTGGTCTTAACTGACCTGCACCAGCTAAGAACCAGGCGCACAAGATCAGTAGAGGGTGCTGCCCATGCTGCAAAGAATGCTCCAGAACCATTGGTTAAGAGGCCATAGCATTCCACCCACAGCAACTGAGCACAGCTTCTTATTAACCTTTCTGCAAAGCCTACTCAACCACCTGCCCAGAGAACTTGCCCAAAGTACAAGCACCCACTGCAAAAGACAACTAGCAGGGAGACATTATTTGGCAAATCTTATTTCCCAGATCCATTGGTGCCACTGGTGAATGACTTCACTTTCTGGGTATCAGCAATGGCTGAACAGTTAATACAAGCAGGCAGGACACCCAGGGCTGAAACTGCGCCTCCTAGATGATGTTTTAAACCCTTCCTTCTCAAGCTTCTGACACCATCCCTCAAGTTCTAACCTTTTGCTTTAAGGCAGCTCCCCAGGTTCTACTCTCCACATGAACTTAATGCTGCCCAGTTTTCTACAGCAGTATCAGGCAAGTCAGAAGCATTATCTGTAAAAGCCACACTGTACACCACTGAGTCTTTCAAAGATGTCAGAAGTAAGTGTGTATTCAAGTTAAGAAAAAAAAAATAAATCATTGTTCTAGTACTTCTACAGTGAGCACCAATTAAAGGTACAGTTCCAAATGCTTCATGGCTTCACCCCATCTAATGCTGTTTGCCACATCTACAAGTACCAAGTGATTAATTTCACACCAGGGCCACCTGCAACACAACTGTATGTTCCTAGACCTACACACCTTGCTGTACTCAAGTTCATCACTATTGTAACTAGCAAACACAATCATCTTCATCCAACTGTATGTCTGGCTAGAAAAAGCAGTTCCCTGTGGACTGAAGCCTCCATCTCAGAATTTCTAATGCCAAACCTCACATAAAAAAAAATTTAGTGTCACTCTTACCACCTCTTTTTTTCAGAACACAAGGGTGTGAAGGGCAAACACCCTCCCCAAACCCACATACTGACCCACACTCCTGAGCCAACCCCTGTTGCTCACACACCATGTCACACCAGTTTCCCTGTTTAGACAGGCTAGGTTGCTCTTTGTGTGCTTTCTAAAGGACTCTTGGTACCTCATACTGGCATTTATTATCTACAAGACTTGCTCCCAGAGCTAGGCAGGTCAGCTTCAGGGCCTCCTATGCTCAAAGCACCAGATTATGCCTTGCTCATCCCAAATCAGGCTGCCACAGGAGCTGTCAAAAACCTCAGAAGAAAAACAAACCAACAGCTTATGCAGAAAAAAAAACCCTGTCAAAACCCTTAAGAAAAGCCCACATAGATCAGAACCCAGAGTTGGCTTCTGCTCTAAGGAGCTGGCACTTGTACTCTCTACCTTACTCAACACCTGCTTCTTGCCCAGGTTTCAAACCTCAACATTAGCAACAGCCTTAAGCTAAGACTATTTTTTTGTCTCATTCAAGAGATTGTCTTGACATTTGTCACCCCCCCCCCCCCAACTTTGCACATTTCACCAAGTTGTGCAAATACTTACTTGGAAGAGAAATAAAGGTGTTCAGAGTCACAAATGAAGATTGACCAAAACCAAATCCTTTATTTCCACAATGGTATAAATGTGCTCCAAGTATGTGTCCAACACAAGTTGGAAAAACAAAATAGAACATGCCAGTTGCAAACTAGATCAGTCCACTGACGTGCTGACTCCTCGGTATTAGGCTTAGTTACACATGACCAGTCACAGTAAAAAGATACATTTTAGAGTACAAAGAGTAGCAGGATGTTAAGCCATTTCAGCTTGTACACATACGAGTCACACTCCTGGCAAAAAAACGCAGAGACGTTTGCATTACTATGCTGGAAGCTATATTGCATCACTTCAAATGGCATCAATATCAATATCATCATCTTTATTGTTTGCAGGCTTCACAGTTTCAACTTTAGGTACACTGGCAGTTGTAGAGTACACCACCTGTGGAGACAAGACACTTTTACTACAGCACCTACTGACATAAGCACTAATTTTAACATCAGGAGCTGTAACACCAACCCGCACAACAACCATCCCGTTTATTGCCACAAGCTGCTTAACGCGTTCTGAGCTGCACAGCACGGTCCAGCACAAGAATGCATACCGCTTAGAAAACCCAAGTTCAAGCATGCTGAAACAACTAGTCTGCCTTTAGAAGGCAGAGACATGCATGTGTAGCTGTAGGAAGCAGAATCTCATGTCCAGGAACAAGAATTTAGTACTAGGAGAAAACAAAAATTTTACATACAAAAAGAAGTCCAGCCACAATTAGCTGGAGCATAGCTACCAAAGCCTAAGCTACGAGGAAGATAGAACAGTTAAGAACAAGTGACTAACACTGACACAGCATTAGAAACAAAATGTTCTTTCAGTTCAACATGCAGTGGTACATGAAGTAAGCCACTGACTAGCACACCAAACCAAGTACAAGACAGAAAGAGCAACCTTAAGAGTAGTTTTCAGTAAGTGAACCTCTCCTACCTCTATGTTTTCATCTTCATCCTCTTCTTCATTACCGGAAGATTCTTCTTCAGCTTCCTTTAGCCATTTAATAAATGGTTCTGCTTTGACACGGATTTCTTTGGCAAGCTCCTTTGCAACGTATTTCTTTGACGCCTGAGAGGACAGACTTTGCTTGAAGACTGAAGGAATTTACATCAGATCATACCCATATACAGCAAGAGCGTAACTTAGAACTCTAACCTCATCCCACTGCCTTGAGCAGCCAGTTTTAAAAAGGCTTCTCCTAGACATCAACTTACATCAGATTAGTTTAACGACACCTGCACAAGCTACTACACATAAAGGAGAAACCAGACACAGTATGCCAGTCACGTATTTAACTGGTATAGTATGCAAGATACTATCCCTTACCTTTTCTGCCCAGCCAAGGATAACTTCTTCTTCCAGGAGATCTGCATCATACATTTCCTTCAAAATATGCGGTATTTTAGAAATAAGCTGAGACTGATGCATGGCTACCACACACTCAAAGCCATGGAGAAGGTACCTCTGAGCTTTCTTGTTGTTGTGGCAGAACTAGAATTGCAATAAAAATGAAGTAATATTAGTTTCCCCACCCTCCTCTCCAGTCAGGGCTCCGGCTTCTGCACTTGTCTCAATGAGACAAGATTTACAGCAGGTCCTGCTATCCCTCGCAGCACTTCTCACCAGCTTAAGCAGTGCTTTAAAAATCTTTGTCCCTACAGTACACCAAGCAATCCAGACTTAAGCTGCTGCTACCAAAACCTCAACCCAACAGTTAACCTGGGTGCAAAAGGAAGGAGTGCTTACACGAAGGAAGTGACGCCTGTATTTCCTTATCTGTTCCCGAATCTTTTCGTCAAAAAGGACTTCAGTGAGAACCAGCGGGCCCATAGCTTTCACATCCAGTCTCTCTGCCTCTGCTACAATGTCTTTATCGGAAGTATCAATGACACCTTCTTCCTTCTTTTTCTGTAAGACAGGAACACTTTAAATCTACTGAGTTAGCTTTAAATGCTCTGCGTCAATACTTCATTGCACTGCTTCTTCCTTCATCAGTGGTGGAGCTAGTACTTTGGTAGAAGCTTATGCAGCTTGTTTGTAGTCTCCTTACTAACATCTTACGCAACTACAGCTGTGTGGCTACCCTAAGTAAACCACATGAGAATATTCACCTTCACAAAATCAAACAGTATGTTGACTCTTTCCTCTACTGTTCTTTCCAGGTCTTCACTAAGTGTGAGGTTCTTTGCATGGTCACTAATTTCATCCATTCTACGCCTCTGGGCTTCTTCTGTTGTGTCTTCACCCCAGTCATCATCCTCCTCCTCCTCCTAAAATAATAATAAAAAAAAATTAAACCAAGAGATTCATATAATGTTATTACAAGCTTAGTAATAGCTTAGGAGCACTTTCAAACAAGTATTTATTTTCCACTAAAGAAAGGGCTACACTACAATTTGTAAATGGAAGCTAGGTGTGAGTTCATAGCCATTTGCTGGGTTACCTCAAGCAGTTTTACCATTATCTAGCACACTCATGACATACTCCTGGTTCAAGGAGCCTGACTGCTAAAAGCTTTCACTTGACAAGCAACACAGAGGTTGTTACTGAAAAGCTGATAAAGCTTCTGAAGAGGAAGCACAACGATACTTCTATTCCAGAAGTGAAGTTCTGGATACATTAAGAACTTCTAGATGACTGCTGCTCCCTGCTAGTCAGCATTGCACCAGAAATTCTGTATCAGAGCAAGACCCCACACACCTTTATTTCCCTGCTTTTTCTTCTACTTACCACAACCTGTGGAGGAGTTATCTCCTCTGGTGGTGGGGGTGGAAGTGTCTCACTGCTGGACACAGAACCATTTTCTTTATCCTTGCCTTTTCTATTCTTCTTCTCCTTTTCTTTCTTTCCTGTACCAGTGTCACCGCTTTCTGCAAGTCAATTTTAATGTTTTATTCTACAAATCAGAGAAAGCAAACAAGTCCCTGCACTATTACACATCTGCCAAATCCCCAAGTAAGTCTAGCAGCAAGTTATATATAGTACTCATCCCCACATACACTCAGGGCAGCTGTGCATCTGCTGGAAAACCCAGTTCCAGCGAGTCTTATCATCAAGACATGAAGTTGTACAAGTCTGTATAACAGGTGGCCTCACAAAGCAGAGACCCCTGGAATAGGTTAGACTTTTCTATTCTAGCAAGCTTAAATTGCAGCAGGCAACTAGATGCTTACTACAGAGTGTTGCTTGCACAGTTCAAGAACACTGCAGTTACCTTTCACTTTTACTTTCTACTTTGACATTAAGGCAAAACAGCAATATGCTACTGCTGACTAGCTCTCCTCCTGCTCAGTTCTGTTCTGCATAGGTAAACCCAACTTTTCACAAATACTCCTACTTGGGAAGGCTACAGGATTACAAGGGAAGAGACTGCTCATGCTGAAACTATGAGCGGAGATACTTTATCCTGACCCAAACATACTCTATGAGCATACTTGAGTCATTTTACATTTGAATTATACGTAACCAATTTGTTTTTCTGCTTCATTAGCAGCACTCACACTGAAGAGGCTCCCTTTACCCCCAACAAATAAGGATATACACTTACCAGGTGGGTTTTTGAGAATGAACGTGCAGAGTTTATGGTTTGTGTCAAGCATGCCTCGATAGCCACAGGCTTTGCAAGAGTTACCTATAGTTTGTTTCTTAGGATTGACATGCTG